CAGTATTCAGTTGCTTGAAGCAGCAGAGACTCCTACCTGGCGTCGGGCTCAGCCGCTGAGCTGTACTTGTTCTTTGAGTGAAAGTCTTCAGTAGCTCAGGCCTGGTGATGGTCAGTAGTGCAGTGCACTGAAGTGGAGTCAAGTGTGGGAACGTCCGGATAAGTATTAAATACTTAAATGAAATACGTAGGGGAAATATTCTATAAATATAGAATATAGATCAAAATCATTTGTATTCAAATTTTTGCTCTAAAGATATAGGAGGTATAATTTTATAGCTGATTTGTATAAGACTTTTAATTGATAGCAAAATAGCGGAGGTAGTTATCGATTTTGGAAACAGACTCGATTTGTGTGTTGTATATACGGCTTTACAAATAAATTTCTTCTTTCTAGCTTGTATAGGTTCTGTTCCTTCCTCTACCTGTTACATACACTTGACGAAACCATAATAGCCTGATTGCCCGTTTTCAATGGGTTCAGGGTATACATAGCTAAAGTAATTTCTGATAGATAATAGATAACTGCAAAATAGTTGCTTAAACAGCTAATCCTAATCTAATCTCTCCCGACCTCCCAATCTACTTTTCGGGCTTGTTACGCGGTCATTAGGCATAGTTGTCCACATATGAGTTTTTGTGGTGTACAGTTTTTTATGTCTATATATCAGCAGCTGGTATTAATAAAGTCCAACTGTTGTCTCTTGACATTGTCAAGGGAGACCAAATACAAAGAAATGAAAGCGAAACAATGTAACATATTCTGAGGTTTTTTGTCCTTGCCTTCTTTATCAATTTCTTTTGTTATTACCCCATACTTAAATATACACATGCCTTCCTCAACAACAACCAACATTGAAGATTGGCACTATTCCAAATTTCAGATATCTAACATGTACAGAGATAATTATGATTTGGGGTCATGCGGTCAGAGCTACGAAGCGAGTATGACATATGCATAAGAATATTATATACTTATTTAAGTAATTAAAAATAAGACTATTAAACTCAAATTATTAACATTATTAACAAATTTAAACTAAAAATTTATTTAAAAAATATCTATTTTTATCTATTTTGAAAAATAAATTTGTTTATTCTCTTCTACTACGCAATTTTCTATCAATAGCCTCTGTACTTTAATCATACTTTAATCAACTGCTTCAAACTTAAAGCCGAACAGAGATTTGGTCATTGGCGAATCATTGATGCGCTCAACAGATATACTTGGGTAGAGCAAGAGACTAATAACACTTTGAAGAAATTGGCAGATCTATATCGCTGATGCGCATAAATTGAAGAAACCGTTAAATGGACGACCAAAAGGACTAAAAGTACTTTCCCATCAACTGAAAACGCTTAACATTTACTGCCACGGAGGTAATGTGCTGCACAGCATAAACGAAAGATAAATGAGCGTGAGGCCGTACTTATGGACTGTAGTAGATTGGCTTAAGCTGGCTAAGTTGCCCAAGTTCGGCAGCAAGCCAATAGCTGTTGGCCAACACAGGGCCACGTCAAGACTCATGTAGCGATAGTTAATTAATACTTAAGTTAGTTGCATGCTTAACCAGTCTGTGAGGGGTAAAGTATTTAACTTTTATTCATAAATTAGAAGGAACTCGAGCTGTGAACTACATAACAACCAGTAAAATGAAAGAAGAGCACTCTCTTTAGATAATTTAATTTATATGTATTGTACTGTGTTAACTTAGCTGTCTAAAACTGAATTAAAAGAAAAACTTATGATATCATCTATAGTTCATATGAATTTTTTTTGATAGTCTGTGGTAATATATCAAATTTGCGCTATAAAATACCATTAAATTCATATGCTCTTCTTAGCTTGAGTTAATATTTAATATTTCAATTTCTTTTTCTTTTTTCTGGCAGCTGTAAACAAGACTACATTATCTTTTTATTTACGTTAAACGCAGTGACTAAATATAAATTATTTACATGTTTAGTCTCGCTTTGATGTATTTTTAGGCTCCATTAGCGAAGACACAAAAACTGAGGAGCTACCTAGGAGCTTTAAGCCCAGCTTAAATAATGATTTGCTTATTGAAATGAAAGCTGACAAGTAATTTGGAACAAAATTTCAAATACTCTTAATGAGGTATATATGAAAATATGCAACATTTAGGCTAAGCCAATTAGGGCAGAAATATTACCTGAGCTTAACAATAAAATTTAATGTTCATGGATTCAAGGATATTGCATTTTGAAATTATTCCCTTGTGCCGAGAGATTTCTCCATAAATAAATGCAATATCATTTCTGTGAATTTTTACTGAATTCTTCGTTTACAAATTTGCATAAATGGAGCATGGAAAACAATTTGCATATTTTTGTGAAAGAAAAAATATCACGAATATTTATGCAATCGTATATATTTCGTAGCACATTAGAGTTTCAGCTGCGGATGCTGCTGCTGTTGATGCTGCTCCTTGGAAGTATGATTTAATTAGGAAAAAGTTAAAAGAGTGAAACCCACCCATCTACGCAATGGTGCTACGTGTCAAGCGTAATTTCCTAATTGAGATTCTATAGATACTCTCAGCATTTGCACAGTTAGTTAAACAAGCGTGGGTGGGTTAAAAGGGCGGGCAGAAGTAGAAGGCATCTAAGAAATTCCTATTTACTTAATGCTGCACGTCGATTTGACAGCTAACCAGGCCCAGCTACGCCTCCAGCATTGCCGCTTATATGGCCTGCACGTACCTATCGCAAATAGAATAGAAAATGCTTCTCATCTCGTTTGACAACAAGCTCTGAGTCTCGCCCTTTTTGTGGCATGTTTCCAATTGCGCGTTTAGCTGACGTCCCGAAAATGTCTCGTTGGCTAAATCAAAGCCAAGTATTTTAGGCAGGTGCCATAGCAAATGTCAATCGAAACTTCAAACATCAAAAGCGGCACTTAGGGGTCGAGGCATTGACAGATGCTAAAAAAAAAGTTAGAATAAAATGTGTGCTAAATACTCAACCTGTACATTTTTTATAAATATAAATATTTAAAAATATTCATATTATTATATATATATATATTTATATATATTTTAATATTGCCTGTGTGCTAATTCGGCTTCATGGAAACCAACTAAATTCGGTAAAACAAATGAAAACAAGTAAGAAGGCTCCAGTCGAGACTGCTCGACTGGGAGATACCCTGAACCCTCCAAGCTGATATTCTAATCATTCTGCACTTCTTCTATGCACACATACATACACATGCACTCATAAGCACGCGCTCTGCTAACTGCGCAGTAAGCAGCGGCTGCGCTTGGGCTGCGCTGCAATGTGGGCAATATTATGAGAATTTATTTGTTGAATAATTTCTTTTGTAGACATAGGATCTTAATAAAACTTTCAGAGCGTATTCATATGGTGAATATGTGTGTACATTCCAAAGCACAAGTCTCTAGTACTTGAAATGCGTTTTTTACAAATTGGGGGCGAAAGGGGCGTGGTATCCAAAATCTGTAAACTACAAAATCTTTGTATCCATTAACTTTATATACAACGCAAATTTGAAGATTCCAGGTCTAAAAGTGTTCAAATTAGGCTAAAAAAACAAAATCAATTTTTCGATTATTCTCGATAAAAAAGTTATCGGATGATTTATCGAAAAAATAAAGCAAACTCGTACTGCGTATGGTACACACGAGTATGCATGCCAAATTTCAGCTCTCTAGCTCTTATAACTTCTGAGATCGACGCACTCATACGGACGGACGGACGGACGGACGGACGGACGGACAGACGGACAGGGCTATATCGACTCAGCTCATCGCGCTGATCAAGAATATATATACTTTGTGGGGTCTGCCACGCCTCCTTCTGCCCGTTACATACTTTTTCACAAAACCATTATACCCTGATTTCCCATTTTCAATGGGCTCAGGGTATAAAAACCAAGTCGATTTTTCGATTATTCTCGATAAAAAACTTATCGGATGAGTTATCGAAAAAATAAAGCAAACTCGTACTGCCTATGGTATACACGAGTATGCATGCCAAATTTCAGCTCTCTAGCTCTTATATCTTCTTAGATCCTTTTGCTCATACGGACGGACAGACGGACAGGGCTATATCGACTCAGCTCGTCGTCCTGATTAAGAATATATATACTTTATGGGGTCTGCGATGATTCCTTCTGCCTGTTACATACTTTTCACAAAACCATTATACCCTGATTTCCCATTTTCAATGGGTTCAGGGTATAATAAACTAAAGAAATCACACAAATTCAAATATTTATATACAAATCAATAATTCATATTTTGGCCTGACCTTTAAAGCTATTAAACCAAACTCATTTTTCTCGTTTGTAAAGCCTTTTTATACCCTGAACCCATTGAAAATGGGAAATCAGGGTATAATGGTTTTGTGAAAAGTATGTAACAGGCAGAAGGAATCATCGCAGACCCCATAAAGTATATATATTCTTGATCAGGACGACGAGCTGAGTCGATATAGCCCTGTCCGTCTGTCCGTCCGTCCGTCCGTCCGTATGAGCAAAAGGATCTCAGAAGATATAAGAGCTAGAGAGCTGAAATTTGGCATGTATACTCGTGTATACCATAGGCAGTACAAGTTTGCTTTATTTTTTCGATAACTCATCCGATAACTTTTTTATCGAGAATAATCGAAAAATCGACTAGGTTTTTCCAGCCTAATTTTAACACTTTTAGACCTGGAAACTTCAAATTTGGGTTGTATATAAAGTTATCGGATACAAAGATTTTGTTTTGAAAGTTTTATTAAGATCGTATGTCTACAAAAGAAATTATTTAACAAATAAAATCTCATAATATTTCCCACATTGCAGCGCAGCCCAAGCGCAGTCGCTGCTAACTGCGCAGTCAGCAGAGCGCGTGCTTATAAGTGCATGTGTATGTATGTGTGCATAAAAGAATTCCAGACTGATTAGAATATCAGCTTGGAGGGTTCAGGGTATCTCCTAGTCGAGCAGTCTCGACTGGAGCCTTCTTACTTGTTTAACTTGCATTGCCGCATTTCCACTTCAACTGACGGACATCAGTGCGTATACGTCATACGCACAGTAAATCATACGCTTGGCATGATAAATTGCACTCGCCGATGAACGATTGCACAGGCGTGTTGAATGCTCAAGTTGAGGGCATTTCAATTTTGATTGAATATGTGCAATGCAGAGAAATATCTGTGGAATCAGCATAGCTTAATAAATAAATATATATTATGTACTGTTAATCAAAAAGAGCCCTACCTTCTAGAGTCTAGATCAGTGGTCAGTCAGTCTATTGCATGAATTGTAATTTGTTGCTTTTGATTTCTTGAATTATAAAATCAATATAATTATAGCTTATTCAATATAGAATTATAGTGTCAAGTCACTTACTACTTTATCTAAACCGAACTAATCTATTTTGCACAACTATTAAATAAGCCCTATATCGACAAGTGTATAAAATCTTCAGTGTGTAGTTAGCCCTAGCTTTTCTTCCAATTGTCTTTCCAGCAATTTTCATGCTTCCCTTTGGTCATCCACTTGTGTGAACATTGCCAGCGGCTAATGGGTTCCCACAATGGCGAGGCTATAAGTGACACTTGAGTTTTTGTTCAACCTAGTCGTTCTTTGCACTATGCCAAAAATGCTGACAGAATATGATTAATTTTAACAACATTTGAGCAAGATGAAAATTTGAGTCAATTGTGACAGGCTCACCTCAAGTGAGCCAATCACATGACCGACAAGTCATAAATAAGTAATGCGATGGGAGACCGCTCTTAAAAACAAATCGACTGGAAAAAGGGAGTCGACAAGCAACAGAAAGTGTCTATGCCAGTGCGTACATATCGGTCAAGCTTGTTTATTCACTTGATTTGTGTAATATTTTACGGCTACCCTGGGCAATCGGCAAGCACGTCCTGTGAGCAGTGCTGTGCGACACTTGAGCTAGCCAACGGCACGTGCTCATTAGCAGGTGCTTCCCCTTACCTGTACATGTGTATTTTCACTTCTCAAATTTGTTTCGCAAGCCACACAATTTCGATTCGGTCATGCAAGATTTATTTATTTTGTTGTATCGCTCTCTTTGTCTTAAATTATTTTTGAGCGCTCCCATTAAATATTCATTTGTATGTGTACAGCACATTGAATATGCAGAATTGATTAAAATTTTTATTTAAATTAGAAAACAAAATCATTTTTATTTGTCAACTGAAATTGAAGTAATCATCGCAGACCCCATAAAGTACATATATTCTTGATCAGGACGACGAGCTGAGGCGATATAGCCGTGTCCGTCTGTCCGTCCGTCCGTATGAGTGCGTCGATCTCAGAAGTAACAAGAGCTAGAGAAATTTGGCATGCATACTCATGTGTACCATACGCAGTACAAGTTTATCATATTTTTTCGATAACTCATCCGATACCTTTTTTATCGAGAATGATCGTAAAATGAATTTGGTTTTTTCAGCCTAATTTGAACACTTTTAGGCCTGGAGACTTCAGATTTACTGTGTATATACAGTTGATCGATACAAAGATTTTGTAATTTACACATTTTGGATACCACGCCCCCTTCGCCCCCAATTTGTAAAAACGCATTTCAAGTACTAGAGAATGTGCATTGGAATGTACACACATTTTTATCATATGATTTATAAATCTTTGTAATATTTTTCATCCAATTTAACATCCAACATTCACGTCGATGGCCCTCGTAGCTAGCACGTTTAATAATTTTTATATTTATATTTTTTATATTATCTAATAAATAAATAATAATAATATCATATGATTACGCTCTGAAAGTTTCATTATGATTGTATGTCTACAAAAGAAATTATTCAACAAATAAATTCTCATAATAATGCCCACACTGCAACGCAGACCAAGCGATGTCGCTGCTTACTGCGCAGTTAGCAGAGCGCGTGCATATTCGTACGTGTGGTTGCATGTGTATGTATGTGTATGCATAAAAGAAGTGCAGAATGATTCGAATATCAACTTGGAGGGTTCCGGGTATCTCCTAGTCGAGCAGTCTCGACTGGAGCCTTCTTACTTGTTTATACGCACGTTGACTTTTCACAGCGACTTGTTTTGTTGAATGTTAATTTCAATAATTTGGGAGCGTTCGCGTGGCGTATACTGATTCATCGTATATAATTTCGGTTTATATATTCTTGATAAGGGCGATGCTGAGTTGATATAGCCCTGTCCATTCCGTCCATCCGTATGAACGCCTAGGTCTCAGAAGTTATAAGAGCTAGACACTTACACGTGTGTATGCGTGTGTATGTATGTGTGCATAAAAGAAGTGCAGAATGATTCGAATATCAACTTGGAGGGTTCCGGGTATCTCCTAGTCGAGCAGTCTCGACTGGAGCCTTCTTACTTGTTTATACGCACGTTGACTTTTCACAGCGACTTGTTTTGTTGAATGTTAATTTCAATAATTTGGGAGCGTTCGCGTGGCGTATACTGATTCATCGTAAAAATCAGCTTAGACTAAAGCTTCCAACGCGGTATGTTAATATCATTAATTCTTTATCAAGAATTTCGCGTTTATATTATAACATTTTTTGTATTCGTTAAGAAACAGGTATATCTACATTATATTATACATTATGAATTAAGAGTACTATTTAATCAATTTCAGAAGAAAATTGGAAACAATCGGCTGAAAATGTGATATTTCAGCTATTCCAGGACCGTAAGCAGAAAGTCCACAAAACCAGTCGTGGTTGGTGTCAGTCCTAAAGACTTGGATCCTGGAAGAGTGTGCCAAAATTGGCTCCATTAACCAGTATTAGCCGTAAATAAAGCCAAATAGTAGTAAATAAATATAAAACAAGTCAGAAAACTCTAGTCGAGAGTGCTCAAGTTTTTACTAGTTGCAATTGGGAAAATTATACACTTTGGAACAAATAAAATAAACATAAATCGCGCGCTCTGAGGAGGCACTCGAGACGTCTCGATCGAGCGTTCTGCTGCTAGTAACAACGTCACTTTACTTTTCGAACTTCTGATGGAAAAACTGAAATAGATTCACTCCTAAAAAAAAGTCTTAAGGATTCAAACTGGACAAATTCAAAACCAATTTGTAGACCCAGTTTGAAAAGCCACAATAAATAATTTGACCAGCTCAAAATTGCTGCATTATGATTGGTATATTTGAATATACATTATATTTTAGAAACCAGGACCAACATTTAATTTTATGATTCTGATGGGTCTGCCCAATGTGGTTCGATAGCAACAGCATAGCAGCCCGATGCCAAGACAGCTAGCACAGCAGTGAGCAGAATCTGTGAGTAAAAGACACCAAAATGAGATTGTTACTTTTGAATAGGCAAACAAATTTGCTTCCTTACCAGTTTCATGTTGATTGTAGCTTCTTTTAAAACGAAGATATCATTCGGACTTGGGCCTTCCATTTTATACCCTTTTTGAAAGCGTGACTGCAACGAATTGAAATAGATATGCGTATCCGTAATGTATCGATTTTATTGACATCTAGTGTGACACGGCCGAAAGGTATTGTATTAGTCTTTTACACTAGAACTAAATCATGTCACATCACATCACATTTACTGTACTTCCAGATAGTAATTACAATATTCATATGAGTTAGAAGTCTCTTCTTGTTAATTAAAATATGAAAACAGGGGAGGGGTATACGAATTCTAAATTATATTTGCAATATATGTATGTGCTTTAAACATATCTATAACACATCTCCTAATTTTGTATTTAGCTTTATTTTAGTTTTTGTTATATTTTATATACCAATTGTTACTTAATTTTTAAAATAGAAGGCCAGCTGCAAATAAAGCTGATAAATGAATGCGTTTACACCAATTCCAAATACTAGATACTACTACACACATGTAAATTAGATTATCTTATTGTGCAAGCTTATATTTGCTTATTATTTTTTTTTTTTTTTTTATCGATAAAAATAACCTTATCGAAAATCAGTTATTAAATTATATCTTCTACAACTTTAAAGCTGTCTCCAAATTTTTAATGTAGATTTATATGCATTTTATATAATTTCGGTTTTTGTTAACATTTATCCCCACCTCTATATCCGCCCCTCACCCACACCTTGTAAAAGGCGTATTTGAAATACTAGAGACTTGTGCTTTGCCAAATAAATGCATATCCATGGTGTAATTATAATCCAAAAGTTTCGTATGTCCACAAGAAAACAACAATTAAGTTCTCATAGTAAGCGCACACTGCAGCCCATGGGAAATCAGGGTATAATGGTTTTGTGAAAAGTATGTAACAGGCAGAAGCAATCATTGCAGACCCCATAAAGTATATATATTCTTGATAAGGGCGATGCTGAGTTGATATAGCCCTGTCCATTCCGTCCATCCGTATGAACGCCTAGGTTTCAGAAGTTATAAGAGCTAGACACTTACACGTGTGTATGCGTGTGTATATATGTGTGCATAAAAGAAGTGCAGAATGATTCGAATATCAACTTGGAGGGTTCAAGGTATCTCCTAGTCGTGCAATTTCCACTAGAGCTTTTTCTTAACTTGAGTTTTTTCTTAACTTTGCTGACATGATGCTAAAGAAGTTGCAAGCTTAAGCGGACCAAAATGAATAACCAATTGAATTTATTATTACAGACCTGTATACTTGCCCTCTTCACACTTGAATCTCCTTGAATATTTTAGTTACAAAGTTCGTTGGGTGAGCATATCATGGAAAGACATGAGCACTCTAAATTTTGTTGAATTTTCCACTTATTGTTATCTTTAATATTAGAAAAGGAGAAACCACTCAGTGATATATGAAACCCACCTGCTGCAAGTTCTCCCTATGCTACTGTGCTGCGCCTGTTGCTAGTTGTTGCAAAGATTTAATGCACTGATGAAAAGATTGAATGCACTTCCCGTTGTCATGGTTTAGACCAATTAATCTAAATGCGTCTCCAGAAGCATGAGATGCCCAACAAACTGAAAACAGCGAACGGCAACCCAAAGGGCAGACCCAAAGGGGCAAAATTATGTTTGCTGTCCGTGGCTTCTCTTCTCTCAGGAAACAAAGGCAACAGTGCAGCAATTGTCGAGGCAATCTGCAGCGAAGCGCGTAAGCTGGTTAAACAAGCGCATAATGCACAATAGAAAGAGAGAGAGAGAGTGACAAAGAGAGAGAGGGAGAGGGAGAAAGAGAGAGAAAAAGACAGATAAAAAAGTTTTCGAGCTCGCCAGAGACAACAAAAATATATTAATTTCAGAGCTTGAGTCGATGCCATTTTCTTGCTTTGCTTAACTGATTTATTTCAGTTCCTTTTAGGATTCCAGTTGTGCTCTAATTCTTTTGTACATTAAAGCGCAGACATTTCCTTTGTTTTGATATTGATAAAATGATAAAATGAGATGGAGAACAATTTTATCTAAAATTATCTTTCTTATCGATCTTAAGATTATAAACAAAGAATAATTTGATGCATGTGGGCTAAGGCGCACATTTCAGACAACGAAAATTTGTGGAGCCTTCCGAACGACTTAGTCATGAGCGATTATTATGTAAAATATATCGTAAGAATATCATTTAAATAAATAAAAAGGTATAATGTATGTATATGTATCTATAAAATGCGAATTACTTTTTGTGACTATAGACTTTTTTCAAATGTATCATTCAAATAAGCAGAAGAAATATACTTGAGTGTTTGTACTTTACTTACGAATTTTAACAACTGAAGCAAACAATTATTCTACAACTTTTTCCTCAGTCCAGGAATATTTTCCCTTGTAAAATAAATAATGTGACTTCCTTCCCTTACAGCTTGTTTGCTTGAGTGCCAAGTTTTGTGTGTTGAGCATATAAACGAGAATAACCCATAAATGATTGCTGGTGCACATATGATTGTGAGGACTATAAATAGTTGAGGGAAGCGTTCAGAAAATTAACTTGTATATTTATAGACGATTATGAGCCCTACATTAAGGCAATTACGAGCACTTTTCGGGCCCTATTGGTGCCCGTCTATACACAAAAGAAACGTGCGACCACCCGCAGGAGTCGCAACCCTTGCACACATTCCCCATAAAGCCAGCAGCCCCTCCGAAGCCAATAATCAAAATGACTAGCAAATATGTTATTTTAGAGAGTATGGAAAAGACGTTGCCGACCTTCAGGCGACATTCGACTGGGTATAAAAACGACCGCTGAGAGTCTTTATAAGTTTTGCAGATTCATTAAGTCTCGACTGAAAGCATATAGTTGAACATACCCAAATATTTGGAAATGTCAACGGGGTCATTAGGCAAACCATTGGCCACCCACACACCCACACACACACATATACATAACTGTATGTATATATGCATATATCTATCCACTGACAGCTGGCAATGCTTAATTAAATGCCCCGCAAAAACAAGTTTATTTCACTCTCGCCGTTTAAGCGTCTGTCAAATTAATGTTCAACGCTGGCTTCTTGCTCAACTTGTCTGGCAGGATGAAAACAACTTCCACACTATAATATAGGCAGCTATTTCCAGCTATATTTGCAAGCTGCTGTCGTCCATTCCTGTGGGATTCTTCATAAAATAGCTGCAGTATAGTTTGTCCCTACTTATTGCTGCTTGTATATGCATATACTTACGTATATATATATACGTAAGTATATTAAACGGAGCTCTGTTTACTCCTTGCTAAACTTTCTGCACTTAACTTAACAGCTATGTACGTCTGCAATAGTTTGTATAACTAGAGAGTTTAGACTTTAAGCGACTTGAAACTTTCGATTTCTCTCAAATGCTGTCAAAGGCACTAGTCGACAATGATAAACAGGGAAAATTAGTTGAATAGTAGACATCACAAATTAAAAGAATTTAAATCCCATATTGATACGTCCATATCATGCACATGGTATCGTTGATCTTTGTATACCAATAATTTATATAATATTTTAATTTTATAATGTATGTATATGTATATTAATACAGAGTTTTATAGTATAAAGTAAATTTTAAAAAATATATTTATGAATATTTTATTCTTTAATAAATAAGAAAATATTTTAAACAATTATATTGTATAATAATATAAATTAAACAGCTTTTCAACCCTCTTGCAAAAAATTACATTGATAATCATTTGGAGCACCGTAAATATCAATAAGGAAGTAGCTGTACAGCCAACATAATCCCTGCAAGAACACTGCCGAGCCGTCGAGGCAGGCAACCCATTATCTCCCAAAGAGAAATGCCACACTTTGGTCGAATACTTACAGGATTAAATCCCCACTTCGCGTCTGTGTGAATAGCGTGAGAGAACGCCACGAGCTTTGCTCCTGTTGTTCTACTCTCCCATTTATATTACTAACTCATCTGTATAACTACAGGTAGGCGAGAAGAGACTTCGAAACGGAATACGCAGCCACGCAAGGGCTTTTAAGTCAGAGGACAGGCGACATTTTCATTTGTCAACTCTCTCCTGGATCTGCTGCTAGCTGTTGGAGGATGCTCACCCTTGGCAACAGCTGATTAAGCCCATTTATCAGAAGTGACTTACAAGCCAGCCAACAAGCTGCCACTGCTTAAAGTTGCGGCTTAAAGCATGCAGTTGCTCAGTTGCTTCACCCAGGGGACAGTCGACATGACTCGAATGTTGCAGAAAATTGAGGCTATTGTTGGGGCATGACAGCAACAATAAACATTAAATTTAAGAAGTTATACACACGTCAAATAAAAGAGACATATACAATAACCATTAAAACTTTAATTGCATAGGATAATAGCTGAGCTTTGTTTGATTTCTGTTTTTCTGATATTATAATGAATGTCTTTCGGATATTTGTACGCAATGTATTTATATCGATATGAAGGATTCGAATTATTGTAAGAAATTTATTTATTAAGGTAATAAAGTTATATACAATCTGCTTCTTTCCCGTGCTCACATATTTAAATTTTGTATAGCAAAATAAATATTTTTGCCATGCTGAGTTCGTTCTGTTGCCCTATATTAGATAGTATCTCACATTCATGTGAAATAAACAAACTGAAATAGCTTGGCACTTAACTCCAAAATAATGCCAGGTGAGGCATTTAATCAATCGCAACTCAACGTCCTTCGAGCTCTCGCCCCTTCCTCATCGGAAATTCAGCTTCGCATAGTTGGCGACTTTCCACATGACGAATTGGAGCAAGACAACCGAGTGTAGCGGCAAGCAGCTTATTCTTTACGTGTGCTGTCTCCAAGGATTAGGGGCAAGTTCTCAGTCGCTCTGCTGGGTCTGAAGTCCCAACAAATTTGTCGCGTTGACAGGCCAACAGAAACTTTGAATGATTAATCTGAGCATTTGTTCAGCAAATTGTTGGTGATTCCTTTGCCAATTAGTCTTCCCATCGATGTATCTCTTAATTTCGATTGTCAATCAAATACGTTGAGTCTTAATTCGATGTCACGACTGATTTAATTTCTTATGTCTGAGGGGCTTGCCTTTTGGCAGTCTGTCCACATTGATTGTATGGCATAATTGAATAAATATGATTGTTTTACCGACTCGCCAACAATTTAAAATATGTTAATTTCTATTGCAAATATAAAGATATTTCTGTATAGGTCTATTTTGCATTAAATGATTTTCAAAAGTAAAACCATAAATTTCGGTTTCGGATGCACAATATACTATGTATATAATAGTGATATTTATAAAGTTACACGAAAGTTATCCCGTTAAATATTTTAAATTGAATATATTTGCTTAGCCCAGTTTTCCATAACTTATTGGACAAGCCAAAGGCGGGCAGCTATCTGTCAACGTAATTTTATTGACTGACCAATCGAATAAAAAAAGGATGCTCAGGACTTCGGTGGTGTAATTGAATTTTATCCTTCTTAGTCAGAGGCTTGATTTTACTCTCAATGGACAGTCCAAATGGTTTCTATGCAATAGCAATAAAAGCCCGAACTCATTAAAAATGGTTAAGCTCGATTGTCTGCTTTGGTTTAAGTATACAACAGACAAATGAAAACATTTTCCTACTCGTAAATGATTCTATATATGTTTTCAATTGATTTTAGAGCCTCTAGAGAAATTCGTGGCGAAATTAAATTTTTCGCCTTTGCAAAGTTTCGGTAGTAAGACAACAGCTACACCTATTCCTACCCGCATTTCTCCTGAAATTTAATAGTCAAACTTTTTTGTGCTTTAACACTACTCAGATTCAAAATTTGGCAAACATTGAAAATGAAAGTTCATATTTGAGCACCTTACCTAGAGTAAATATAGTTTACCTCCGGACTTATGCCTGCCTCTAATTGAGTAGACTAAGCCTTGAAGGTCTAGCATATTATTTTAGCGACTTACTCTATTCAGACCGTCTTTAGAGGTCAACTTTTGTCCGAAACAAAGCGCTCGATGACGCATGCTGATTTGTGTGAATCGAAACTGTTGGGCGAAAGTTTCATATCCGTATCCGTCGAACACATTTTATTTGCAGGAATTATGTGGCTATTTTTGGCACAAAATTGTTGGTCCTTTTTGGGTGTTGGGACTTTTTATCAACTCGCTTCTGGCTGAATACACAGCGCACTCAGTGCAAACTCTCGCAGAGAAATAGAGCCCGCAGCCAAATATTATAGCGTACATATATATTTACAAAATATTTCGTATTTCTTTTTGCTACTTTTGTTATCCCCTTAGAGGAATATGTTTGGCTACATTTGCACACTTCACTACACCCGCTTAAAATATTTCGGAGTGTGTATTCTATTTATGCTAATTTCATCAATTCCAGCTGTGAATTGTTGCACCTTTTGAATGGACGAGTTTCTATTCCGCATAAGCGACTATTGTTTTACACTATATTACAGAAAAGCTATTAATCTTGTTTTAGTGTTCAGTAATGTTCTTTCGTATATTTTGCATGTAAGGCGAAGCTATAACCCAACACGGAAAGAACCAGATGGATCATATACAAAAACATTGATGATATTAATGTAGCGGAGAGCATATATTCGTCAGATCGGTATACATCTAGGTGGCGATTATGTACTAGGCTGGCACTATAAAACGTTATTAAAGTCACGTATAGGAAAGTCCATCCATCGGCGAGCACCAGGTACCCTTTATTTACCGAAAACACAACAATCACTGTTAGTATATAGACGATGGTATAGACAATTGTTGCTATCAGCATTGCGCGATAGGTGGGTATGCAGCACAGCGGACAGCTTGAGGCGATGCCGTACAGAATCACGTTAAGCACCAAAACCGCCAATACAACCGCGGAGGCCAACCACGAACTCATCGAGGTCCAGTCGTAGCATATGACACAAAGGGTCATACTCTCGACGGTCACGAAGCCCAACGTCCAGTTGATGGGAAACGTGTCGTGCAGCTCGGTATATACCATGAGGATGATACACACCAGGCCTATGACCAGCCACATTAGGCACGGCATCGGCACCGTGCCGCGCAAATCGAACCTCGTAGTCCTCGCTATTGCCATCTGGCTCAAGCCTATGGCCACGAAGAGCAATGCCACCAAATAGATCTTCTCCATTCGCTTCATATCCCTCCTCGTTAATTTTAACGATTGATTGCTCTTCATCTTTACTGATTTTATTGCAAGAATTTCGACGGCATGCATTTTGATTTTTCTTTGGTAAATTATGGAAATTTGTTAATCTTGAAAGCGATGTGTACGAAAATATATAATAAATGTGTCATGAACTGAAAAGAGTTCTTGGATCGTCCCTTAGTATCTGAATTTCTGAGCCTAGTAATAGTTATTGCTAGCGACTTGGAATTTGAATATACTTCTCTCATCAGTTTTGTATTATTATTTATTCTGTTTCTTATACTCAAGCTTATGCATAAATTCAACTCGTAAGTCTAGTGTATCCCTATCTGAGCTTGCAAGGCTTAGCGCCGCCTTCTTATATATTCTGAGACTGAAAGGGTCAGCGGTCCTCTGCCTATTTAGATTTGACATAAGTGGCCCTTATCTTTATCTCTGTCTGCACATCTGTATATATTATGAATGTTCATGCCTGAACACGCTTATACATTTGCTTGGCAAAAGTGTCAATTCATATGCACAAGCACTCAACCCCGGTCATATGTTAGACCACTCAAACTGGAAGACTGACATGGATACTCTGCTCAGACCAATACGTAGTATAAATCTAACCTACAAATATTTGTATCTTATGTTTTAATTCTTATACACTATATACTATACTATATATGTATAATTTTACATATATACATATGGTATATTAGCCCTGTAAATTCACCTTTCTGCAGACAGTGCTTACCATTCACCATTCAGCTGCTGAGGGGTACACGCTAATCAATGAAACGTGTTGGCTTTCAATGTGGTCTGTCCTGACACTTGGCCATGTTTACACACGCCCTCTGGCCACCTTCTATTCCTTTCTGTCCTCTTTGGCCTACAAGCGCGCGGCAGTTGGGCTGCATTTTAATTGGCATTAGCGGTAAGACAAACAAACGTCAGCAGACAACGCGCGGCATGTCAAAAGGCCCAAACGGATGACTTCGCACCTAAAAGGTAAAAATTCATTCAAATAAACATGACCAGGCACAAATGGCGAAATATCAGAAGTGAAAACACCTGACATAGGTAGTTTGAGGTATTTAAGCTCAATTAAAATTAACATTTGGTAGGAAACGTATATTTTTATAAATTTATTCTTTGCTGTTGTTTGCATAAATTATTTTTCTATTATTACTCTAGACGACTGAATTATTTGTTCAGGCTGTTGAGGAAGCCTTCGTATGCACTTAAAATAAATAATTGTTGGTCTTAAATAAGTAACTCAATCTATCTATCATACAACAAATAAGCTTGAATTTTCAACAACGGCCATTAAAATATAACTTTTGTGATTAGATCAATATCCAAAGGAGATTTAATATCATATTAGGACTTGCATTCAAAATCATCCATTAATTCAATCAAAAGCAAAGCAGGTGTGCAACAAGTTTCTTTAATTTGCAACGAAATAAACTGACGGCAATAGCAAGGCTCACGAAAATCTGTGATTTGAGATGGGAACGCTTAACAATTTCGAAGCGAACAGCTGCCGGAGGGTATGAAAAGTTGTACTGTCACAAAGGCCATAGCCAGAATATCGAACGTTTATTAATTCCATTCGAATCAATGCAAATTTAGCAGAGTTTCATAATTAAATTGTAAATTACATTTATCAATGCAAAAATAGTACAATCAAATTATTTTCGGCATATTATTACCAAAATAAGCAATAATAAAGAATTAATAATGAAAATATGCTGCAAACACAGCTGAAAGCCAAATGAAAGTAATTGAATAGAACGCCGACACAAAGGATAATTAATATATATTTAAATACAAATTGAACATTGCCTTTGTCACGATTTTTACAGAAAATTTACAGATTTTAGAGGCTTTTATGCTCTTTCTTCTATGGAATTCAATTTAAAACCCCTATTAAATATTTAGATAGTTAATTTTATTCTGTTTCTTTTAATATCAGATTTAAATTATAATAAACTATATACAAACTAAAAAAGACATATATTTATACACACATTTAATATTTTTGATTTTTTTATTTCTTCCTTTTTTAATTTTTGGGATTATATGCACGTATGTAAATTTTTTTCCGCCGTTCACATTCACACACAGCTTCAATGACAGATGTGAGTAAGTATTATGGCAATTTGCCATAGTAAGTAATTTAGATAAATACGCAACACTCAAGTTGATTTGATCAATTGTGCATACTTAAATATAAAAGACTTGATTGTGCTGCCCATTTTCCTTGGGTGAGTGGGAAAGTCAAAATGTATTTCATATAATATTTGGATTTGGCTATAAATGACTGATAGCTAACAGATGTGCGTTGCCTCGGCTTTATGGCTGTTATATATTTAGCTATGAGTGCTTTAAAATGCTGAAGAAATTAATTTTGGCTTCGGGAACGGCACAGCTGAAACCATTAGCCGTCACGTATACGCAGCGATAACCACATCATCTGTCTCTGCAGCCACGTAACATGCGATTGAACGAATAAATCAGGGAGCTAATAAATTTTTGCAGCACCTCAAAAGCCGCCCGCATGCGAACAACGCTCGCAATAAACATTAATGCCAGCGAGCCATTAAGAAAGCGCAAGTTAACAGGCAGTCAAAAGGAGCCCACTGAAAGCTTGGAGGGAAAGGGAGACAGATCTGAAGAGACAGAGTTCGGAGTGGGACACAGACCGAAGAGGAGTTGGCTGAAAGGTTGATTCGGCACAGACCTAGGGAGCATGTGCTTATACAGGCTAGCACACGCACACAAGAATCCACGCGACACTTCCGGTCTTTCAATTGAATGCGTTGTGCACCACGCGGCGTATACGTGTTATTTTCCAGGCGTATGCGTGATTTTTTCCGCTCTTCACCGTGGGGACTGTTTAAATTGGCTTGCCGTTTTTGCTTTCGTTGTCGTTTCTATTTTCGTTTTAATATATTGAATTTTATTATTAAAGACAAGATCATGCAGCTGGTCCTCCTGCCTCTGTCGCATTTTCATCAATTATTATTAATTAACGTAGATTCAGTGGTAATGCAATCAAAAATATTTCCAACTCACTGTTATATATAAAATGTAAATGTATTAATACATTTGTGATGTAAATAACAAATCCTACTCAAACAATAATAATAATTCTTCGGCTTATGCCAACAACTACATTTACATGGATACTCATATGCCTTATTCCTATTCCTTTCTATTCAAAAATCATCTAAATACTGTAATTGTTTTCTAATTGTGAGTGTGTGCAGATCTACATATTCAACTTCGTCTTCATTCGAATAATTACTACTATATACTATACCTACATTAACTTTCTATTAAATCCTAGCTGAAGCTTGTACTTTGATGTTCTTGCATATTGATGTTAACTCAAATGGAATCAATGACGAAAGGAAATCGTAAGGAGTAGATAATATAAATAGATAGAAATTTAAAAATGATTGGAATCGGTAGTTACCGAGTATTTAAAACTCGTTCAAGTTAAATTATTTCTTGGATCAAAATTCTGTTCCCAGCAGTTTTGGAGTCAAATTAAAATTTGTGGTTATATCTCTACGTATTCTGGAGTCACTTTATGTTATGTTCGCTCGCATTTTGAAATCTAGAAACAAGCTTATATATGTTTTTTCCATCTTGCATACCCTGGTGGGCCGGTCCTAAAAATGCTTTTTGTCCTCGCTACCCTTGCTCTCAATTTAATTGCAGAGCTATATATAACCAGAATGATTTTTCTTTTCTTTTACGGCTCGCATTGTGATTCTGTTTTTCGTTGCGTGCGTTTCTTAATTGTGCTTCAAAAGTTTTTCACCCGTAGACGAATGGCAAAGCAGTTCGCATGCTGTTGCATTTGGAGGGACGGGTCGATGCATGGCCCCCACCTTTTTACCAACACAAAAGGGCGTTCCTTTGTTGTCCTTCCCAAGAAATATCATGCTGGGCAACGAAAAACAATAGACACACTCTGAGAAAATAAATGCGAGACCACAGCCAAAGGTAAATACTAAATATTAAAACTAAAGGTGGAGCGCCCAAGATTTCCAGTGGACTTCATTCTAGATATCATCGTCCTGTTGACCTCAGTAAACTGAAGAAAAGAATAGAATTAATAGCTGCTGCTACTTGTTGATAACATGTCAAAATTATATTATATATAATTATAATATAAGTAAATATGTATATAGATACATTTTCAATATCAATGTTCAATGTTCAATAGCTGTATTAAATTCCTTTTGAATAGCCGCTTGTATATATACTGTATTGTGACACACCCCATCCCGTTTCAAGAGGGTTTAAATTATGTAGTTATATCACGCACAACTTCAGCTGATTTTTACCACCCTCGTTGTAGCTGTATATAAAATTAATTTTCTGCCAAGCCAAATGGAACTTGCCGTGAATACTTAAAAAATCACATTACTTTTCATTGATATGAGCAATCGGTCTGCTTAACAAGAAAGCTCGACATGTAGGAGGAACAGCTCGTGCCAGTAATTGCAATTGCATGACTCTTGAGAGCTCTTGTGTAAGGAATAATAAAGCCTTTCAGAAAATTGCAACTTTAAGACATTCCACTTTCGATTCATATGGCAATTCAGTTGGACTAAATTATTTCTTGTATAGATAATATTTTACCTGTTTCGAATTATTTTATAAAAATCAAATTTAAAATAATTTTACACTTAAAAGTTCGTCTAAAAGTTTTAATAAATGAAATGTAGATCCAAACAAAATATTATATTCATAAATATGAATATTTTACAAAAAATGCTCGAATATCTAAAATTAATTACTTTAGCTCTGCTGGTAATTAATTTTTGTCAAATGTACAAAAATATATGTTCTTAATCATAGCACCGAGCTAGTCGGTAGTCTATTCAGTTTTATGGGTAAGTTGTTCATTAGTTTCTTTATGCTTCCGGCTAATGGTACATAGTTTCGCGTTACAGCATTGTATGTATAAATAAAGATATTTAATATAGACATTTGGTGAAAATGGAAAAGTAAAGAGTAGACTCCAA